TTTTTTTTCAAAATAAAAGTTTGAATGCCCACACTACTCGTGGTCTTTAAGCGCTCACATTGCTCATTTTGGTCTGGATCACCACACCTCTGTCTTTTTTTCTGACAACTTTCATACGCCCCTCGATTGTTTGTCTTGATGGTGGAGCAGAACCACTCGAGTTGCTGTCTGAACGGGATGTCAGAGTAGCGCCTGGATCAGCAGGTGCAATAAGTACGACTTTGCGTGAACGCGGATTTTTTTTTACTTTGATCCAACAGAGTAATGAATTGGCATTGCCTGGATACCTCTGACGAAATAGTTGTAGCATCTCGCTCCACTTATCAGGTGCTCTCGGAATTTTTCGGCCACGCTTCTGAAGTAAATAATATCTTCTGGCGAAATCTTCGTATGATACGATAAGTGCTTTGCGAGTCACCGATTTGTCGCCTTTACGTTCTCCGTGGGATGTCAGATTGCTTGTTTCGGATGTAGACAGAGTACTTTGTGCCGAATTCTGTCTTGAAAGCAATACTGTATTTTTATACGACGCATCAAAAAGTAAACTGGTAAATGTTTGACCGTTTGTGTTGCATGTATTATCATCAGTTGGGGCATGTGTTGACTCAGTCGCGCATTCAGGACGTACATTATGCAAACTTGAACGAACTGTAGAATCTTCTAGTGCAGCTACAGGGAGACATTTGTTCGATTGAGGGGGTTAATGATCTATATTTGAATCATTAAGCAGCAAAGTTACACCAGCTGAACATACGGTGGCGCTGTTTGGTGGCGTGGAAGCCGGACATGATATCCTACAGACTAGTTGATCTTCGACAGGTTGATCAGGTTTAACTCGGCTTGATTGTAGGCTCCTGGCTGTTGTTCCTAACATTTATAAGTGCAGTCCACTTTTGTCTGAGAGCATCCTCTGCTTTATGGGAAATTCTATCACATATGCGAGTCGCAAAACCATAAATACGAATAATGACTACAACTCTGCTTTTGATCAGCTTCGAGCTTCGTAACGCGTCAAATATATCTACCATCGTTTTCTGCTCGCTCATATTGTCCATAGTCGACACAGGATGACCAGCTTCAAATCG